GTGGCCCTTGGTCTTAATCAGCGCTCTGGTATCTGTGATTGCAGCGCACATTATAAAAATTGCTGGCAGTTAATTGTCACTTTTTCACAAGGAATTTTTGTAAATAACATTTTCATTCCCGCAGAGAATAATTCCATTACCAGAGCAACCATAAAAACCTCAGAAGTCAGAACATCCTGAGACATGAAAGAAGTACCCAAAAAACACCTAGGTCTTGACTTCAAAGTAGTCTTCACGCAGAGTTCCTGGCTGGCATCCTGCTTCCTCTGCCTGGTGCGGGGTATTTGGCACGGCCTCCCTCCCTGCTGTGGTCCCGAGGTGGACCCTTGTGGGACCCTGCTCACACATCCTGCCCGAGGACTGGGCTCTGCTGTGAAACTTGCGGGTACATGAAATCTGAATGATATAATAAGAAGAAAAAACGAGGCATTTGGTAGCGCCGCTTTGCTTCTGGCAGACAAAACCTCCCAGCTCAACCAGGAATATAAGTGAGATGTTAAAAGCTCCTCTTGCACAAAACACAGCTCAGCCCCAGACTCCCCTGGGCAAACAGGGATGGTTTCCACATCTCCGTGCTTCTCTCCATCAGCTCTCCTGTCTGTGGGGTCCCAGCCCCATATTTTTTCTTCCACGGTTTCTGTAGGATACATACATGGGTGTCATGTTCCCCGTCTCATTCCTGCAACCTGGTTTCACGTGCCACCAACTCGTTGGCAGCCCAGCCGTGGCTGCCTTGGAGGTGTGCCGGCATCTTAGCAAGCTGATCTCTCCCCACAACACTGCAGCAGCTCAATTCTGAATCACAGCAAACTGCAGCCTTCAGAAACACAAAATGGAGATGCAAGTCCATGGAAGGACGGTCCCACCTCACTTAGCTGCTGCAGGCATTCAAAAAAGGAAGGTAGCAATGGCTGCAGCAGCACCCCTCCCTCCTCCTGTGGTCCAGCACATCTTTCCAGCTCCCAGCTCAGCCTGAGTCATTGCACGGGTGGAGCAGGAGACCCAGTTTGGCTTTGAATGTTAGCCAAAGTGACCATGAGACTGAAGTGACCACGAGAAATGGGAAGACACCGAGCAGCTGTAAATGGGGAATCATCCAAGGAGGCACTTGCTACTCAGATAGAAACACTTCAATCTCTCTCTTAAGTTTCTGACCTACTTCTGCAGCTCTGAGACACAGGAGACTATGCCAGACATCAATCTGGGCGCTTGTCTCAGGGCTTCAGCTTTGCTTTTTTCTACCAGTTGGCACTCAGCAGCATCATCCCTTCGCTGCAGGGGCCTGTTTCTTCCCAATGGGAGCTGCTGGGAGCAGGGCTGCTTCTCATACACACCCCGGCATCCCTTACTAGGATGTAAATGCCCAGGCTCGGGCACTTCCAGAGTATTTAGCCAGAAAGAAGCCCTCCTCCCAGCTCTCTATCACTTTTGCTAGATTTTGTATCACCTTGTCTTTAGCTGGTAAATGTCAGCTGGGATGCATCTGCTCACTAACCACTGAAATGGGGCCAATTTCTCCAAAAAAGGGCCACTCAGTGACAGTCCTGCTGCTTTCTGTATTCATGCATCTCCTCCATACGCTTCATTTTTGCAGCTAAACATTAGCTTCATGCGAAATTTACTGAGCAGTGAAAGCTAAAGCAGGCTGGGGAGAGGAGTGCCAGGGAATGCTATTTGCCTGATGTCAAAAGAGCACCAGATTTTATTGTTATCTCCGATGAAATGTTGAAGAACAAGGTGAGAGAACAGAGATTTGTTAGCACTGATCATATTTCCTCCCTGGGTGGACTCACAAAACAGCAAGAACTAGGGAAAAGAGAGAATTTTGAGTGGCATTCAGCTGTATATTTAAGCATGAATCATCCTCCATCTATTGCAAAGCCTCTCTCTTTTTTTTTTTTTTTTAAATGTAGCTGAATTTTCATGAAGCAATATATGAACTTTGGCTACAACAGATGTCATCCTGGAGGTTTTGGGGTTTTTTTTAATATCTGAATGTAGCCTTAGCATAATAGGCAATATTAGGCTTTCATCTTTCACCACTACTAGCTATAAAATCCAGAGCAGAGGATCATTAGCATGCATTACTTAAGAGAGGAACAGCACTCAGTGAGTCAGGGTACAGACCAAGAATTAATTGTTGAAGGCATTCAAAAATAATCCATTGAAGAACAGACGGAGAATTGGAGAATATTGCAGTCTGTCCAGCCTCCAAAGAGCCAGCGCACAGTGAAGACAGCCGTGGTAATGTGTCCCCCTAAGGCTTCCCTGAAGGGATGCAGGGAGAATTTCCTGGGTGGGAACGTGGCTGGGGTCTGCAAGGGACGGTGTGGAACCTTGGAAGTTCTGGAGATGTGCTGCAAGGGGAGTATGGAGGGTGAGGCAGGAGGGTGGCAGCTTCCAGCTCCGGGCTTGAATTTCCATAGGAAAAGGAGCTGAAAATGGCCGAGGTGGCTGCTGGAGAAGGGAGCAAGAGGTGGGCAGAGCACAGGTTGCTGGAGGCACCTTCTAACAGGTTGCTGAGGAGCAGAATTCAGTCTTCACAACCTGCCAGTCTGGGCTGAACGGTGGACCACTGAAAACACATGGAGAGATGCTGAAGAGGCCGTGCTCCGTGGCAGCATCCTCAGCCAGCACCAAGCTCCCCCGGGGGTTGTGGCTGAAAGGGAGCCTTTTGGTAGCTCCCTGCACAACTGCCCTGCTGAGCTTGCCTTCAAAACACGTAAATCCCTCCCGAACAACTGCCTGGGTGGCACAGCCCTACCCTCCGCCGCGCTTTCTGGATGCTGGGAGTTCTTTGTTGCTATTATTACTCACCCTGCCCTTTATGCAATGCCAACACTGCTGCTGATTTATCTGCTGTATTTCAGGGGTTTTTTGCAAGACCCCAGTTTCCCGAGAGAATATTCCTCGCTGATTTACGTGGGCTGCAGTGGAGCAGGCCATCAGGGACAGAAATGGCCACAGGACTGGCCTCAGCCTGCAGGCTGCCTTCCGAGCTCTGCTGTAAAAATATTTATTAAAGAGTTCCCCCAGAGCTCTGGGTTTTGGAGGGAGGAAGGACAGACTGTTTCTCTCTTCACCCAGAGTAATTGGAGTTGTCCAAGCAGCCAGGATTTCTTACCACTTTCCTTGATTAGATCATCACTCAGTAAAGAAGTTCTTTTTGACAACCCATTGTAATTTTCTTCTGCTGAATTTCCACAAGTTCCTCCCAACTCTCTCCCACATTGCAGCATGCGTGTGCTCTCCAGACTATGCCAGGAGTAAGTTTCTGTTGCTTTCACACCTTTTGTAGCTCGGGGAAGTCACAAAAAACAACCCAGACCAAAACTATCTGAAACTAGACTAATTTAAAAGCTCAGATTCTGCCATCATGCTTGTACCCAACAAAAAGTGCCCCTGAAGCCCACACACCAGTGGAATTGATAGACAGAAGATGCTGTGCCCAGAGCATATTGCCCCTTGGCTGGCTCCATGGTTGCCTCCACTCAGCAGACTCCCCTCTGCTTTGCTCAGAGTCCTGGAGCCAAGAATACAAGATGATGATTTTTTTTTCCATGGACTTTGTGACATGCAAGACTGCAGAAATGCCCTGCTGACTCCTAAAAAAAGGGTGAGGAATGGACTGTCCTTGAGCTCTTGCCAATGGGACAGGGAGACCTAGGGCATAGGAAGATTTTTTCTCTGTTTTCTGTGTCAGTACTGATTATTTCTCTGATCTGGAAGTCTAAGTTACCAGATGTTTCTGGTGCCCCTGTTTTACTGTCTCTAAACGTGAACTTTAGAGAACAGTTTGGCCCTGCCTTAAAACCAAAGAGGAGCCTGAAGAAAACCTCTCAAGTTTTTTCCCTGCACTTCTGCAAGTGAAATCTTTCCTTCATTTGTTATATGAGACTTAATGACTAAGTACAACAGTAGAAGTAGGGGGTTAAATGATGGACTATTTCCTGGTTATCATTTCCACAAACTATAACTAGTTGACATTTTTATTGCCTTTCTAAGAGGTTCCTGCCCCATTTCTGCCCCCTGCCTCCTGGCCGCAGGTCTCTGTCCTCTCTATTGTGTCAGAGACTGAATCAACGATCTTTTTGTGGCTTGTCTCTAACAGAGGGGACAAAAATCTCCTCCCCTTGTGGGAAAGGATGATAACTGGCAGTTACTCTTTGTGCCTAATGTATTACTGCCCGAGCAGTATTTGCAAAGGGAACAACCCTGTCTGAAGCTAAAGCAGGGGTACAACTAGAAGTAACAAAAGTCCTGTTGTTAGAGTAAGTATATTAAGAAGTAAAGCAGGGGTACAACTAGAAGTAACAAAAGCCCTGTCGTTAGAGTTAAGTATATTAAGAAGCTGGTGTCCATTTAGTTGTCTCTTGGTGGCACAAAAGACCAAGTGCTAAGAGAGAGTCAAGAAGAGCTGTTGTATGTTATTTACTGGTGATAAGCTCTGATTGACTCCCTTGGTCAGCGGTTTGCAAAAGGAGGTCTGTTGTGCCATTCTGAGGACCTCTGGAGGCTTTGGTACCTGCACAGGCTGGTCCTACAGGATAAGGAGAAGTCTGATCCTGCCCCTTAATCTGACCCATACTAGCTTTCCCTTTCCATCTCAGTAGCTGGGGTATCTGTGCCATTCCCCTGCCCCTTGCTATTGCAGCTCCTCTCCACCCTGTGAACAAAAGGGAGGTTCACACCCCCCCAAAGGTGAATGGAGCTGGGACCATCATCTGGAGACCCTCAAATCCTTCCAAAGGGTTTGAAGGTCTCCAGACAATGGTCCTAGCTGATGATCCCAGCACTGTTGTGGGATGGAAGTTCAAAAGCTGCATTTGGGCTGGGAGAGGATCAGCAGCCCAATCCAGGGCCATGGTATTTGCCTTACAAAATAGTCACAGATCTGGGTTATTTTCTGCTACTAACTAGAAGAATACTTTTAAATCTACGTGTCACTCTCCCGTTTCTCTTTTAAGAGACAGTGCTTATTTTTAGAAAAAATTACTCACAAACAGTAGGTTTTCCTGGTCATATCCGCTGATAGAAATGTCTGTATTGCAGATGGCAGCGATGTCTAGATGCAGATGTCTAATCCTCATGAGACAAATTTCCTGGAACTGAACAGAAGACAAAGTGTGAATATCACAGCATCATTTAAGTAACCATGCCTGTTTAGCAGAAAATCAGTCAGCAATACAAAACAATTATTTAAAAAAGCAGTGTCTCGGACATCCATTTCAAGTTGCATGTAAACAGCTCAATCTTTCTCGAGCTAGTTGTGGCTGCAGAAGCAAAATCGTGTAATGAAAACATGGTTTTGAACTGGGAATTAATGAACAAGTTGCTCACTAATCACAGAGATGTTTTTTCCCTGGCACAGCTAGACACCCTCCGGGTTTTTTTCCTTCTTGAACCACTATAGTAATGAGGCAAAATAAAAGCTATTTACTTTTTTGGGGAATTACTAGCGCAGAAGTAGCTTGCAAGCCAGTGAAGAACAGGGTCTTAAAGGCCTCCTGTCAACTTTCTCCTTGTTCAAGCTGAGTGGACCAGGAGGATGAGCTGTCACAGATGGGCAATCAAACAACCGGAGAGAGACACTAGAGCTCTAATAGGACACGATTATTAGTGAAAGGCAATGCCTGATGAACAAAAGTCTTTCAGATTAGCCTTTGCTACATAAGGATGTTGTTGGGAAAAAAAATACTGTACAAACAAGTTGAGAAAAAAAGGTAGCAGAGAAATAGAACTGAGGGTTTGACTGTCCTGAGAGATCAGGACTGTAACGCTGGTGTAAAAGGCTTTTATATTTACCTTTAACTTTGCTTGATAACTACAAACTTGTGAAGAGTAGGAACTAAGAGTACCCAAGCATGACCAGTGCAGTTGAAAATAAGGTATTAGCCCAGGAGATGTATTTCAAAGTGATCTGCTTTTCAGTGGGGGGATTTACTAACGTAAGAAAAAGGGAAAAAAAGATTAAATTATATCTGAGGTAGATATTCTTCATATCTCTAAAAAGACTCAATCCAAAAGTGATTCTAGAATCTAGACAAAGCCCATGAGTAAAGAATAAAAAAAATTAATTTTTTTTTTTTTTTTGCCTCTCTTCATTTTTTCCTCTCCATCTGCCCTTCCCACCCTCCCTCACTGTTTAAGTCAAAAGAAAAATAATCTGCACAGACTGATAAAAAGAAGGTAAAGACAGAAGCCCCAAAGCTCAGCCAGGAGGCACTGAGACCTTCTCCCCTCCCTTACAGGACTTAACACAGGGTGATGGAGGGAAAGCTTCACTTCTTTTCCTGTCTCCATTTCAGCAGATTGGGTGGCTGCCTTTTAAATTCATCTTTCATTTAGAGGAAGGGGCCTGAAATGTTTCTTCCTTTGTTGCTCTGTGCTGTATCCTTTTCCCATGCTGGAAAGCAAGAGGTGTTTGGGGTACCACAGGAGAGCAGGACCACTCCCAGCACACGCACGATAAATATTAAAAGCTTCTGGCAGCGCAATCTGCCAGCAGAGGAAATAAAATTATGTCTATTTATGCATATCAGCATATTCAGCACAGATAACACACGACCCACAGACTCTGTTGGCTTTGTGAGGTTTAGTGTGGGTGGGTGGAAGGTTCCACTGTGACCGCCATAGAGCAGAAAGGCTAGTGACTCCGGGAGAGAAGGGAGGTTGGATGGACTGAGTATGGGGGATGAATCACTGGGGCATGGCCCTGGGGAAAAAGCCAGACATCTCAGGGCTACACCACCAGGAATGCAGTGCTGCCCTGCTTAGGCACGGGATAGATGCTGCTATCATTTCCGTTACTTAGTCCAATAAAGGAGATGATAAACAACTTTTTTACAATCTTTTAAAATTATTCCTATCGCGAGTTACTAAACAACAACTGAGGCCACGTGGAATATGTAGGAATTGTATGAGGCTGAAGTTATTGCACCTTTCTCTGCAAAATGATTTCAACATCCCTCATACCGTTTGAGTTATGTCCTCTGTCGCTACAGTGAATTGCAAACGTTTGTAGATGTCTCCCTGCGTACATCTGTGCATATATTAGTTTATATAAAAGAACCATCTTCAAATGAATTGCTGGTGTTCAGCAGTTTTGGCTGTGGGCTCAGACTAGAAGGCTGGTGAATCTAAGACAGGAGAAGAATTCATGTTTTTAAGCATGAATCTCTCTTCTCTGTGTTTCCTATAACAAGGATATCTCACAATTTAGCATACTGTATTCTATGTGGGGTGAAGGCTGGACAAGAAAATACATGAGGGTTGTTCAGCCTTGAGAAAAGGAGGCTGAGGGGAGACCTTCTCGCTCTCTACAACTCCCTGAAAGGAGGGTAGAGAGATGGGGGTCGGTCTCTTCTCCCAAATCACAGTTGATAGGACAAGAGGAAATGGCCTCAAGTTGTGCTGGGGGAGGTTCAGATTGGATATTAGGAAAAATTTCTGCACTGAAAGGGTTACTAAGCATTGGAATGGGTTTCCCAGGGAAGTGGTTGCAGCACCATCTCTGGAGGTATTCAAAAGATGGGTTGACATAGTGCTTAGAGACATGGTTTAGTGATGGGTTTTATCAGAGTTAGGCTGATGGTTGGACTAGATGATCTGAAAGATGTCCAACCTAGACAATTCTATGATTCTATGAGAATAATCCCTTGGTGCCTGAGCAAACCACAGCCTGTAGACAGGAACATGAAGGATGCCTGGTCTTCATCCAGCACGCCGGCTCTCCTGGAAGAAGAATATGAAGTCAACAAACCACTAGCTCTGAGGGGACACTGTCAGCCTGCACCTTTAGCACTACTCCAGTCACTTTAACAGAAAATATTCCATCCAAGCCTTCTGGATTGCATATAAGGAGAAGGATCTCTTTTGACCAATGCAATTCATCACCACCAGAAAGAATATGTATTAAATCTTATCTGGATACAAGCACCAACTGCAAAACCCTTTATACAATTCCTCTTTGTGACAAAAAGAGCAAATGACCTCTTTCCACTCTCTCGTATGTCTGTACTTTCCACCCACCTCTTTCCCAGGCATTAATTGATCCTCCGAAGGAGTTGGCTTTACTCAGCGTTGCCTCCACTGGCCCACACAGAACTATGTGGTGGGCAAGTTTTAGGAAGAAATTCCTAACTTTTCGTAACAGTTAGCAAAAAGAAGGGGGGATGCCTTTTCATACTTAAAATGTGAGATGTCCTGGTCATAGAAAACATCGAGAAGAGAGATTTATGCTTAAAAATATTAATTCCTACCAGTCTCAGGGAAGACAGAAATAATTTTCTTTGACTTGCATTGAGCTCTTCCCCTATCTACACATGATAGATCCATTTCCACATTCCTGCAGTCATTTGAAATAAAGGTCCCCTCTTTACTTTCCAAAAGGCAGAAGAACAGCAACTGGCTGACGCGTATGGAACCTGTTTTCTTTGCTGGACCAGGTCTATGTACAGGCAGAGCAGAGCCCCTTTCCCCTCCGCCGCCTCTGCCTAGTCTTTCATGGTGGGCAGGGCTGCATTTTGCCTTCCTGCCGAAAAGCCTCGTGTTTTTTATGGAAACGGTGAACCCAACCCATGGCACTTCCGAGGTCAGAGCGTCTCACTGCTCTTATATAAATGAGATATTACAAGGCACCCTTTCTGCAGCAGTAGCACCTCAGCTAGTCCACGGGTTACCTTACTATGCATTAATCATCCCTGCTTAAATTCCCCTGGGTTTGCATCACCCTGTGACAATCTCTGGAAACGAAACCTTTAGTGTCCAAGCGGCCCCGAACAACCCTCTGGTGAGCAGATCTGAACGTTCAGCAAGAGCAGTGACTGCAGAGTTTTTCTCTGACTCCCCAGCCCCAACTGCCACTGTGAAAATTACACAGGCAGTGCCAAAGAGCCGTGAGTGATGCCGCACATAGTTGCCATAAGGATAATAGCTGGCATTTGAGCCTCATTGGCCAGTTGAAGATAGCATCCGCGGGGCCAGAGAGGTCGCCATACCGATCCCGGGATTTAGAAGCGAGATTAGAGGCAGCTGTTCTTTTATCAGGGTGAAGATGAAAGCTCAGGGTATAAAAATAAAACGCAACTGATCATCGCTCTCCTTGGGGGCCGTAACCAACTTCAGCGGCAGCTCTTGCCTCGAGCAGCGGCGGTGGCATCGTGGTGTGCCCACGCTGCCTTTGTGGGGGATGTCCCTCAGCCCTGTGCTGGTGGCTTCAGGGGGACCTTCTGGCTGCCACCGCTTTGCAGCTCCCTGGAGGAACGTGTGCTGTGGGGAGGGGACAGCTGCCCCCGCGGAAAGCCTTTGTTTGGAAGAGCTCTGCTATTCAATAAACAATGTTTGGAGCTGAGATGAATGGCCCTTGCTTTTGTTTTAATTTCATGGCGTCGCTTCTCTGTAGTAAAAAGCATCCATGTAACTCGCAGGCTGGGGAGAAGCATCTTTCATCTTGCTTCCAGCCTCCTCATCAGAGATGAACAGAGTGGGGGTAAACCATTCCCCACCCAAGGTGATTTTGCCTGAGTCCTCAACACCAGTGGGCAGCCACCACGCCACGGAAATGCTGAAAACTGGGCGCTATGTGCCAGAGCAGACACGGCTTTCCCTACAAAAACCACACAGAAATTGAACTATTAAAAAACCTAATTTGCCTGCATCCGGGTGAGCTGTTTTCTTTAGAGCATAATAAATCAAAACCGTTTCTACAAGCCGTCTCTGTATGAGGAGATGAGAACAGAATACAAAATTTGGGAGGAAAATTTCAAAACCTTAATCCCAAGAAAGGGTACTCTTAAACACTGCTTATAATTTCTGCAGTATTTCATTAAATATTTAGTAACACGCCACTTGTTTAGAAAAATCAGATTATTCAAACCAACAGAGCATGAAAATTTGTCTTCTCTGAAAAAGGTTTTCCCTCTCTGAATATATCAGATCGCCATCATCAAGTTGCACATTGAAGCATTTATTGTTGGCCCCTAATGTTTGAAAATTGGGCTACATGTACCCTGTAGCCCATACTTCTTCATCAGCAGATCCCCCTGTTAATCATATGAATCATATGCTGATAAAATGCATTCTTCAAACATAGATATGAAGCTAGAAA